TAGATATTTGAATAACTTTGATTATTGAATTTTTATAATAATATTATTTTATGAAATAGTATATGTTTAAATGGGTATACAACAATATTTTTTTTATTAATTTTTATTAAAAAATATAGATAATTTGAAATTATTTGTTAAAAATAAAAAAATAAAAAAATAAAAAAATAAATTTTTTATTTTTCTTTAATTTGAAACATTGGAAAAAAATAATACTTTCATTAAGATGAACAATTTAGAAATATTTATCCCAAAACAATAGGAGATGAAATAAATAAAAATAACAACAGAATCACAATCTACTGAATTACATAATAGGAACCTAGTCTATATGGACCAGTTTCACACCTTGGAGGTTGTCAGTTCCTTGTTGGGTTTCAACGACCAATGCGTGGGTTGTTGTGGTTCAACTCGCTCCTCATGATGTTCTATATAAGCAGTATTCGTAGGAGGATTCAACAAAAGACTTCCATCAACCTTAGAGTGATAAGAAGAAAATGAGGAAAAATTCATGGTTTGCATGTAATCATATGCATTTTGTAGTCTGTGTACGTTGACGCCAAAAAGATTTCTCATGAAATCCTCTGTGGGAGCTGTTGTTGTTGGTGGATTCATAAATTCTTCATGCTACGTATGATATATGGTGGATTCATTGAAAGACTAGGGATATTATTCTATACTATAAGGTGGTTGGTTATCTCCAAATGAAGAATATTGGCTACAAAGAAATATTTTTGAATTTGCATGAAACTATTGCAATTATTCAAGAGTGTGTTGGAGAGGCCCTTGAAGTAGTTTACCCAAAAATGATTAATTATTTTATTAAATTTTAATTAAAAATTTATTAAAAATAATTTTTAAATTAAATTTTTTAAAAAATTTGAAAACAAAAAATAAAAATAAAAAAAGCCTGTTGAGAAATCGGTTTCTTAACAACCAATTCTTCATACAGGTGTTATATATAAAATAAGAAGAGAGCTAAAATTCAAAAACGAGAAATTGATTTCTCACCTTAAATAGTAATTGGATTAGTTTGATAAATAAAATGGGATGAAGTTATTTAGGAAAATAAAATAAAAAAATAATATATTAAAAAAAGTTTCTAATTTCTTAACCATTATTTGCGCAATGGATGGCATTTTTATTCATAATCATTGTGATATGTTGGAGAATACAAGTCTTAGTTTCAGTAATAAAAGCAACCAATGAAAAGGAATCTAATTTGTCACCTAGCCAAAGAATGGGTAAGCTAATAAATGAGAGTGGTCCTCTGGGCTCCACCAATAATTTGTGGAAAAAGATATTTTAGCAATTATTTGGGGAACAAGATATCTTAGCATTCTACATGTATTAATTTTACCAACTACCAAAAATTTCATATATGACATGATTTATCTGTAATAAATTTATACCAGTACTTTATAATATTTTTAGTAATATTATTTTTATTATTATGTTTCTCATTTATGTCGCATTCTCTTTTATTTATTTTTATT